AGACTCTAACCCAACATCTCCAACAAATTGAGAATGAACAGCAAGAAAACCTGACACCCTCTAAAAAACCTGAAATTACAAAAATTAGAGCAGAAATAAATGAACTAGAAAAGAGAAAAACAATTGAAACCATCAAGAAAACTACTTAATTCCTTCAAAAGATCAATAAAATCAATAAACCAACAACAAAAATTAACAAAAAGAAGAAGAAAGAAAATACATAAATGATCCAAATATGAGACAAAATGGGAAATGTCACAGTGGAAGCAACTAAAATAAAAAGGCTAATACTGGAATATGATAAAACTATATTGAAACAAATATGAAAACCTAGAGGGAATGGAGAAATACTTAGAAACTCACAATCTACCTATACTGACAGGAGCTGAAATTGAACACCTGAACAGATCAGACTCATTACAAAAGAAGAAACTGAAGAGGTAATAAAACAATTTCCAGCCAAAATAAAGCCCTGGACCAGATGGTTGCACAAAAAAATTTTATCAAATATTAAGAGAAGAACTGTCACCAATCTATATAAAGTATTTCAGAAAAGTGAAAAAGATGAAATCCTCCCAGACCCATTTTATGAAGCAAACATATCCTTGATACCAAAGCCAGGTGAAGACACTACCAAACTAGAAAACTATAAGCCAATATCTCTCATGAACATAGATGCAAACATCCTGAATAAAATCCTGGCCACTTGAATCCAACGATACATTAAAAAAAAAAGAAAATTAATCATGACAAAGTAGGATTCATAACAGGTATGCAAAGTTGGTTCAACATAAGAACAATCAGTTCAATTCATTACATTAACAAAGCAAAGAACAAGAACCACATGATCCTATCAATTGATGTAGAAAAGGCCTTTGACAAAATCCAACACACTTTCTTGATTAAAACATGCAAGAAAATAGGAATAGAGGGAAATTTCCTCAACATAGTAAAAAGTACATATCCAAACTCAAGAGCCAACATTGTTCTCAACAGAGACAGAGTAAAGGCATTCCTTTTGAGAACATCACCTCTCCTATTCAATATTGTATTTGAAGTCTTTGCAATACCAATAACACAAGAGAAGGAAATGAGAGGTATTCAAATTTGTTAAGAGGAGGTAAAAATATCTATATATTAAGATATGATATGATAGTAAACTTAGAAAAGAAGAAACTACTGGACATAGTGGACCTATTCACAGAAGTGGCAGAATACAAGATCAACATACACTGCCAAAGGGGTCCTTTAGAATAGTGAGAGAAGATCTTCACCCTGAAACCTACAGCGTCCCTTTTCAGCAGGAAGTAGCTAAGAGAATACGCCATACCCTTTTC